AAAATGTGATCTCTGGTATATATGCCTATTACCTGTGGAGAACACTTTATGCTAAATGCATTTTTTTTCCCAACACTGCATTTCAGCAGCCACTAGATCTCGGGAAAACTATGTTGCTTTAAGGTACTCCAAATCACATATTGCTCAGCACAGCCCTGATAAATCCTAAAGGAATGGTTCTACTGCTGTTTTTTTCCCCTTCCTTCACCTCATTTTACATATTTTCTTTTTTTTTAAAAAAAAATGTTTTTAATGTGCTGTTTTAATTATCTATTTATGTTTTGTAAAATATTTTGAGGGACTTTTAATATAGGAAGCCATAGAAAAGTTATGTCAACACAACACCTGTACCTTTTAATGTAGAGGTGTTTGTTTTTTTTAAAAAAACCAAAAAGCTCAGTTCTATACACCCAACTTTATATATTTGCACAAGTAAGTATTAGGGGATGTAGGGTTGGGAATGAAAAGACCAGATTTCCCATTGTAATCTGTTTCTTTTATTTCCTCCTCCTCCTTCTTTTTTTTTTGGCTTTTGGAATGTTATATTGGAAACAACAGCGGCTCTTAAATAGGTTTCTTTATCCATAAGCCAGTTGGAAACTCTCCATCAACTCTGATTCTAAGACATTTTGGTCTGGTTTTGAAGATTTCCACCTCTTAGAATGGTAAATACAGCTGAAACTGTAAATCTCTTTCTCAAACTAATTCTGAGTTCCTCTTTGATGAAAGAATGCCAGGGTTGCCAAATTCTTTGTGGGAGGAGAAATGGAAGACACCCGGATGATCGTCTACCAACATGGAGGACTGTCTCACAGAAACTGAGTTGGAAGGACACAACTGTTTTCTTTCCTTCTGGGTCTCCAATTTGGGCCACAACCAAGGCCACAAGTTCAACAGTCAGGGCTTTGTTCCTCTCCGCCAAGTCTTTGCTGGAGTGGTTCCCTCTGATGTGAAAAATATGAGCGAGCTCCCTCTGAACCTGAGTCCAAAATGGTGACGGATGAAACTCTGGCTTCTTTTTCACATTGGCTGGCCGAATTGTAAGTTAGATGAAATACTTGTCTGATGCAGACAACAAAAACAAAACTTGCCACTTCTTGCCAATTGAGTTGTGTTCATCAAAAACATCGCTGACATTGTGCCACTGCCATATACGCACAATGTCTTCATTTTCGCTTTAAACCGAGCCATTCCTTTGTACAAACTGTTGTCTTGGACACCCTGGCTTTTGTTAAAGTCAAGATTATCATGACAGCTTCCAAAACAAACAAGTAAATAAATCCTACACCAATCCCAAAGTCTCTTTGAGACAGAATGTTCTTTGTCGCTCCCACCTAAGAATCCAATTTGTACAAAGAATACTATGCAAGCGAACAACCTGTGTAAGACTACTTGAAACTGTGAATATGTGGCTGTTGCAGAAGCTCTGAACGAGCTTGTCTTTTCTTCTCCCATTCTAATAAATCTCAGTGTGTGATGTGGTGTCATCCTATCAGGAAGCTGCTGAATGAATGATCTACTTCACTGACTGCTGCTCGCCGAGATGGGAAAGCTGCCACTGTTATTACAAATGGGATGCAGCTCCCTGTTTCCAATCTTCATAGGTTCTCCATAGAGCTGGATGAGAAATTCATCCTCTCTAAATCTTTTATGGGAACTTTAAAAAATTGTACTCTGAGAGCTAGGACTGGGGTCTACATTTGGGGCAGAACCCCAAACCCCACCCCACCCCCTTCCCCAAAGGCTAAACTCATTCTTTCTCTCAAAGGGCTGTAAAACTTTGAAAGCTTGAGAAGAAATGGACTCATTCAGTCATTCAGTCATTATTGTCTCCTACTCACAGTTTACTCACAAGCATCTGTATCAGGGTTGCAGCTGTCTAACTAATTGAACCATACCCTGGTGTTCTTGGGAATATGCCAACATCCACAGGTACCCTCACTCTACTCTGTCCCTTAGCCTACAAAAGTGGGTGGGGTATAAGATAAGAGAAAAGGAGATAAGAAAATGGCAAGCAAAAAGGAAGCAGAGGAAACATCTTGGAATTTACAACTGTTATAGGTAGGTAAGAAGGCTATCAGCCAACTGCCAGAACCACAAGGTACAGCAAGCAGCATATCCTCAAATCCTGGACATAAACTGTTTCAACTCCTACCCTGTGATGCTATAGAGCACTGCACACCAGAACAACTAGACACAAGGACAGTTTTTTCCTGAATGCCATCACTCTGCTAAACAAATAATTTCCTCAATACTGTCAAACTATTTACTAAGTCTGCACTACTATTAATCTTCTCATCTTCTCATCATTCCCATCACCCATCTCCTCCCAGTTATGACTGTATGACTGTAACCTTGTTGCTGGTATCCTTACGATTTATATTGATATTGTTTCCTGATTGCTTATTTGTAACCGATGACTATCATTACATTGTTGTACCTTATGATTCTTGATGAACATATCTTTTCTTTTATGTACACTGAGAGCATATGCACCAAGACAAATTCCTTGTGTGTCCAATCATGCTTGGCCAATAAAAATTCTATTCTATTCTATTCTATTCTATTCTATTCTATTCTATTCTATTCTATTCTATTCTATTCTATATCCTGATCGGGATCCTACCTGGAGCTTGGCTTTGTAGCTCAGCTGGAAAAGTCAAAAGCAACACTGCTTAAGAGCAGAGCGTGGAGCATGGTCTGGAGTTCCACAGCAACCAGAAAAAGAGTAAACACGGCAAGGCAACTTAACAAATGTTGACACTTTTGTTTGTTTTAAGGACTGACTTTTCAAGACTTATTTATGCAGCTACATCAACCTGCAAGGTCTAAGGAGGTAGAGCTAACCTAGGCAATAGCCTATTTTTAGGAAAGGTGTGTGCTATAATAAAATGTTTTGTTCAGTTATCTTCTATGCTGTGGGCTTTATACAAAGTTTTACAGCTCAAAACTATATGTACAAAAGTGTTCAAAAAATGCAGAAATTGCACAGTTAGGGTTAAGTATGCATTATATTGGATTAGGGACTTTTCACTTTAAGAACTGTAAACACTAAAATGTGCCTACAAAACACATATAGTAAAACAATATCATATAAAAGTCTGTAGATGACCACAGTGATGATTTTTCCACTTTGGCTGATTTTGTAAACGGATACAAGATGTGCCAGAGTCAAACCAAATCTGCAGTTACTAAATGGGGAATGAGAGAATGAATGAAAACAAAGTGGAAAGATTCCCATATAATTATGATGGGAGAATGGTCTTTTAAAATGTAATGGGAGTTGAATGCTGGTGACTCTATCTAACGCAGCATCCATTGCCAGCCAACCACGAGTGTCAAAAACCTTCTTCCAATCCGTATTTCCTTGCTAGCACTCAGTGTTTCAGATCATACAAGTTCAATTTGGTTATCATGGCTAAGTCACTTTTACGTTCTGCTCCTCTTTTAAAGAAATCCAATAAATGGCCAAATATTGTGATAATAACTTCTGCATACTTTAGAATCAGTGAATTTCATGACATTCATATTTCAAGACTATATCTACAAATGACTATATATAGACTATATATATAGACCAGGGGTGAAATCCAGCAGGTTCTGACAGGTTCTAGAGAATCGGTAGCGGAAATTTTGAGTAGTTCGGAGAACCGGCAAATACCACTTCTGGCTGGCCCCAGAGTAGAGTGGGAATGGAGATTTTGCAATATCCTTCCCCCAGGAGAGGGGAGGGAATGGGGATTTTGCAGTATCCTTCCCCTGGAGTGGGGTGGGAATGGAGATTTTGCAGTATCTTTCTCATGCCATGCCCACCAAGCCTCCCCACACCCACCAAGCCATGCCCACAGAAGCGGTAGTAAAAAAATTGAATTTCACCACTGAGATCAACTATACAGTATCTGTAGCCTGACTAGGTGGCTCAGTGGCTAAGACACTGAGTTTGTCAATCAGAAAGGTTGGCAGTTCAGTGGTTTGAATCCCTAGTACAGGTCTCCTGCATGAGCAGAAGGTTGGACCAGATGACCTCCAAGGTCCCTTCCAACTCTGTTAGTGTAAATGATTTACTTGAAGCTTAAGTACTTCATTTCAAATCTTTGCCTACAAAAGAAGGTCTGGATTTTCTCAACAGTTGAGGCATCCTCGAAAACCGTCTTCTTACTGCCATTCAAGTAGAAAAGTCTCTTCTTATAAATTGTCCTCACGGCTGCCTTAATTGGAGGCCAAGGTCTGAGGAGAAGCTTGGTATTCTAATCTGGAAACTCTGAGGTACATCTTTATTCTCCCTTTATTCAAATGGCCAACTTTGTCCATTCCTATTTTTAACCATTGCAAAGCTCAAACTATTCCTTTAGATATAAACAAGGTATTAAAAGCAATCCTTGATGTTTAATGCCAGAGTGGAAACTCTCTAGGTGATAATAGTCAGAGATCACATAGCAACTAGAGCTCTATTTTATAGCATGGGGAGGAAATTTCATCATAAAGAAATGCCTGAGGTGTAGATAAGGCAGTATGTAGACAGTGCGGTTCCATTTAGTTTTATTTTGTTGCAGACATGAGGGGAAAAAATGGAAGAAGAATATGAACACAAAGCCAGAGAGTTATAATTGCAAAGCTAAAATTGTGAAGGTGAATTTTCTTGCCTTCCCTCTCCAAAACCATCCTTAAGATTATTTGCTTTTTTTTTTAGAGTGAATATATCCTGGATTTATAGATATGCAGCATCCACTTTTTGTGATACTTTCCAGTATTTGATGATATGATTGTACTGAAAAACTTAACAATATGTGATATTCGGTGCTTTTATATGAATCAGCACTTTCAAAAATCCAAGCAATCAGTGAAATGCAGGGGACTCCTTATTTATAAATCAAGTACATCCCTTCTCCCCTAGTGCTATCTCTTTTCCACAAATGTATACAAATGGCTTCATCACAACTGTATACTATGCTGTATAGAAGGCAATATCGAGAGGCAGAAGGATAGGATTAGCCTCTTACCACAAAAGTGTCTTGGCTGGTATCTTCACCATCCTCCACATCTGTTAAAATCAAATCTGCATTTCGCTCAGTGCAACTATCTGAAACAAACATAAAGGGAGAAGCTGTAGCACATTGACACCATGAAATGCACATGAAACAAAAACTGGATTTAATTAAAATTGCTTTTTCAAGTCATGCACGGGGGCAAAGAAATCACATCCTGAATTGTTCTACAGTTACTGGATTCCAGCAAATCGTCACTCGTCCTTTGGATGAGATGGGGCAACATCAAAGGGGAACTTTTTAAAAAATGGCATATTTTTTTTTATCTTTATTGTGCTATGTAAATCAACTACAGCATTGATTTCCTTGCCTGCCTTCACTATCACTAAAGCCTCCTGTGGAACCATATCAGAAGTAAATAGAATCCAAGCATGCAAATCAGGTGCTGGGGAAGATGAGGGGTTGGTTCGGTGGCTGCTAATATCATAATCACCATAGAAAATGTCGTAATCACCCTAGAAAACTCAGTGAGCTGATGGGTTCAGGCCAGAGTTGAAAAGCAACATCAACCTCTTGGGAGGCTGCTAGTAAAATGCTATCATAGGTCTCTGCAGGTGGGTTGGGGGCAGCTGTCTCCCACGAATGACTATAATGCCCAGATTCCCAGTTCTCATTAAAAAAAAACCAAAAAAAACACCACAATTCCCTATCTCCACTAGAAGCCCAGATGTGGGACAAAATGTGCCACCACTTTTCTCCTTCTTTTATAAGAAAAGGCCCGCTCCTAGGGATGATTGGCATGCATATTGTGTGCCGAAGAAAGTCTTTTTTGAATCTTCTCCAGTTGGGAATGTTTTCTGCCTTGTTAAAAAAAAGCAATTCCAAAATCATGACAATTTATCTACTAAAAAAATAGAAAGAAAGGAATTCATAAGATGACTGAGATCTTCCTTTTAAAAAAAATTAAATTTGAAAAAGTTATCCTGCAAGTGGTTAAATATAAAGGCCATCATTTTATAAGCCTGCTGTAAAAGAGGGAGCCGGTACAGATTGGCATAGGCCAGGGGTGTTAAACTCAAGGCCCATGGGCTGGATCCGTGGGGCCGCCCTGAAAACAGCAAAGGACCGGCCCATGATGCTTCTGCTAGCAAAAACGGAGCTCAGGAGGGCCCTCCCAACCTCCCTTCCTCCCTTTTTGCTGGCAGAGGGTTGCAGGAGGCCATGGCAGTCAAAAACAGAGCTCGGGAGCCAGTTTTTGCTGGCAGAGTGTTTAGGCCACCTCAGGTGCCCCCAACCCAAGTGACATTGAATGGCCATGCCCACCCTGGCCACGCACACCCACCCTCCCAAGGTCAAACAACCCTGATTTGGGTTGTGCCCTCAATGAAATCAAGTTTGACACTCCCGGCCTAGGCTGATCCTACAAGACATCCCAGAACCTACAGAACCTGCCTATGTGAGTAGCAAGGCATTATCTATGATGTTATCCAAAATGCATTCTCCACATTCTTGTTAGGTTCAGTTTGGATTTTAGGGTGAGTGGGCAAGGGTAGGGGTTAGACTTAGAGGGATGTAACTAGGGTGGCAATTAAAGCTGATTATAATTAAAGTGTAGTTTATTAAATGTGTGAAGTCTGTGACTATTTTCTTGGTATTCTTTCCTAGGGCATGGTGCTTCTTCCTCATTCTAAGAACACACCTTGCTACAAAATGTCCCAAAGGTGCTTTTTCAAAAAGCAACTGGACTTTGTTTTTCCTTGAAGACGTTTTTTCTTCTCATCCAGGAAGAAGACGCCTCCATTCAGATTTCATTTCATTCCATTCCATTCACCTCATCCATTCAGAATGGAGAAGCTTCTCATCCATTCTGAAGAAGCTTCTTGGATGAAAAGCAAAATATCTTCAAGGAAAAACAAAGTCTAATTGCCCTTTGAAAAAACACCTTTGGGACAACTATGACCTGGATGACTGAAAATCTCCATAGTCATCTTGCTACAAAATATTTTCTCATGCTATGGATTGTAAATAACTCTCATATATTATAGTATTTAAAAACAAGCAGAACCAGGGAGGGGACTGAATCCTGAACAAAATGGCATTAAAGGGTGTCTTTCTTTATTCACTTGATTTGTACTTTGTCTTTCTCTCTAAAATGACATTTACTGCAGCCAGCAAATTCTTTAATCTGCCTTTTGACTGTCCAGGAGCTGCTCAGTCTCATTTGGATTAAGCATCAATTTCTTCTCCTCCATGTGGTCTATGGACTATTGAGGATTTTAGCCACAGGTGGACAGGTATTGTCTTGATCCGAGGCCTATGCTTTTAAAAAGAAGGAATAAAGTAATCTAAAAATCTCAAGGTTAGGTTTATCTCTCTTTGTAGCTCTGCTTTGTAGGTTGTTCTGTCAGTAGCATTCCCAGTTTGTTCAGTCACTAGAGCAAGGATGTCTGACCCTTGGACATTATCAGCCTTCTTTTTTTAAATTAACTGTCCAACTAGATTCAAAGTCGACAACTACAAACACAAACAAGCGTTCCAAGAGTTTTTGTGCAACATCAAAAATTAAGGATGCAAAAGATAAAACTGTATCACATTTAGTATATTTAGATGAGGAGGATGGGATGGAAGGAAAGCCAGAAACATCAAGTGACATTTGTCCAATTGCTGGTGATGCCAGAAATACTGGAGCCAGTGATCCTGCCTTGGCTTTGTCAGACCAATTATCTCCCAGGACCCCTTGCTCACACCTACTGACAGGAACTCAGGTTCACAAATGTACATACCATACATACATGGATGTGCATATGGATGGATGATAGTTATGCAAAGATTGTACATAACTTGTGTGCTAATGAATGTAAGCCGAGAGCAAAGATACATCAAACTTTCATTTGATTTGGTTTGGTTTTCTATCTGTCAGAAAAGGAGGAGTCAGAGAGAGAAAAGGGGCAAAAGAAAGAACCAAAATGCTTTAAATCTTAAAACTGTGAACTTTTGGAGCAGTGGTGAGGAAGCGATGCAGAATTAAAATTGATGTTGTTTGGAAAGTTGGAACTAAAACTGAATTCAGCTGATGGCAGGTATAACTTTTCTGTTCATTAAGAGTGAGAAGGGACTCCACAATATGACCTTTCTTGACTTGGTAACGTCCAAATATGTTCATCTACAACTCCTGTCATTCCCAGGCCACATGCTACACTGTATCACCCCCTCAACATATGCTAGCATGTGGGCTGGGGATGACAGGAGTTGTAGTTCAACGTATCTGGACGTTACCAAATCAGGAAAGGTAATACTGCTGAGTCCCTTCTCAGCTCTTAATGCTGCCTTCCCGCTGCCAGCAAGCTGGTATTTCCCAACAACATAACACAAGAGAATAAGCCCATGAAAAGCCTGGGCTAAGGGAACCCACCCAGAAAGTAAACTCACTTCTTCAGAAGGGATTTCTTTTTTTTCAAGCTCTGAAATAAATCTCCCAGAGCTTTCTAGGCTAGGAAAAGCTTAAACACAGTCAATGGAAAACAGGCAGAAGAAGTGACAAAACATTATGACAACAGAAACTGTAAAACAGATGTTTTTTTAAAAAAAAACAGTCAAAAGCAGAACAAGTTTGATGTCAATCCCTGTATGGAAGGATGTCAAGAATAAGATACTTCTCCCTTTCTCTTTTTTTATTACCTTCTTATATAGCATTTGGATCTGATCTAGAAAGAATAGGAGGAACTTTCCCTGAATGGATTATTCAGATCAATTGGTAATATTGTGTTCATCTGTCCTGGGTGTAGAATTCATGCCAGTTACCAGAAGCAATTACTAACTTAACTAATAAACTTTAATTTAAGAAGATATTATTTATTACATTCCTTATCTCTTACATTAATTAATGTAAAATGTTTTTGAAAATGGAAAGGTAGAAAGAAAAAAAATCCAGTTATTTCTAAGAATGCCATGGGGTTTGATAAGGGTTGCATGGTCCCATTTGTGAATGCTAAGAGGTTGTTTCCAGGAAAAGTCTAAATAAATGGGATATAAACCATACATTATAGACTGGCAATGTGTGATTCAAATAATTCAGCTCTCAAGAGTAGGGCCAAAGCAAAAATCCAGCAGTTCCAATTCTAATTCCCTTATCAACTTTACATGCAGTGAATATTTTATAGATACATTTTAATGAAAATCAGCTTAGCTATCATTCTGCAAAAGGAAGTATAAATGGCTTTTTGGTCCCTGACCAAGCTTGCCTTCTAAAAGTAAATGAATCACAAGAAAAAAAAGTGATTGTTTTGATTTGTTTTGATTTACTTATAATAGGGCTTATATTTGTTTCCTACTCCATCGATTTACAGCAATTATGGATAGAGGGAACTCTGAAGGACCACCACAAAGGACCAATGATAGGGGGAGATCTTGAAGTTACAGATATTCTATTCTTAATTTAAGGTTTGTTTTTTTTAAAAAAACAACAACAACCACTAAATACTGTTTTAAGTGTGAGAAACAGGAAGAATCAGAATAGTTTATTTGGCCAAGTGGTTTGGCCAAGGAATTTGTTTCCAGTGTGGAAGCTCTCAGTGTACATGCAAAGCAACAAAATCATCATCACCCCAATAAGAAAAGTAAAGAAGACAGATAAATGATAACAGTACAGCCATACCACATGGGTAAATATAATATTTAAATGGATATTAAATTTGAGTTTTTTCACAACTTAAATAGTCTACTTTGGCATGGACCTATTTCAAAATATAATTGTGGCAAGCAAAAGTAAATACTAAAATTCAACCACGGGAAATTATTTTTTGCTTAATCAGTAAACTGCTACAAACTTGTCATCCCCCATTATTGGATACAGTATATTTCGGCTGCTTCTGCAAATTATTGTCCCAAAGAGTTTGATTTAGAATGCTGATACAGTAGGCCCATTTTTAAAAAATTGATGGTGTTACATGATAGGCATTGTATCTTGCATCCTACCCTCTTCAAGAGAGAAGTAAAGAACCACAACTGACTTTCATTCTTTCATAGTGTTTGTGGTGTATTGAATTATTTTTTTTCCAAATGAGCTTGGACTGTGATTCCCATGATTGGTTGGAAT